GTTTTTGCGTTTTCCCTTCCCCACAGACGCATCGGTTCCTTTAACACCTGTATTTTCTATTTGCTACTGGGATATTTTTCATGCACATACTACTGAGCAACAAAGAAAACACGGTATTAAGCACCGGATTGCTTCAGGAGTGCCAAATTTGGTGTAGCCATGCCGGTGCATTTGTACGGCCAGTTAGCGCAACATGAAACAGGGCGCGATATATTGCTAAAGACGGGAGAAGCTGACCGACTGCTGGATTTATTGCGGGATTCACCAGTGCCACTTGATGTCCATGAAACCAGCGAAATAAAAAGTGCACTGTATGCGCTTGGCCATATCGCTGCTGTCGTCGATCCCAGTAAGTTTTTGCGCCTTTCAAGCTCTTCACCGGTCAAGCTGCTTCTCTAGTTTTAATCTAGTTAAGTTTTTTTTGGAGGAGAGAAAAGTGAAGGACAGGAAGAGGTCGAGGTGAAGGACGCATGTTTATGAGTTTCTGATTGTATCAATTTGTCTGTGAAGAAGGATTTGAGTCGAACTGTCAGTTTAAAAAAAAGGCTCTGATTAACCCGGTTTCCGTTCCTTGACCTATAATTTTGAATACAAAATCTTTCTAGAAATCCATTTTCGGTCGAAAGAAGAAGACACTTTCAAGAAGACCCCAAGTTTTTTTGTCCCAAAAAATGTCTGCTAATTGCATTATTTTCTCATCTATCATGAATTTTACAGGCCTGTTGCCACTGGAAGTATTACCAGTTATATGTCGATTTGCTGAGTGTTGCCCAGTTTTAAGTATTCGAGGCACGGCTTATTGGGTCCTCAGTCTTGTCGGCGGTACAGAACATGGTTAGTAAATCATCAGACTGATGCACTTCCATGAGGACAGCCAGGGACATATGCATTTTCTGTTACAAAAGTTGCATATAACGCATACTGTCGAGACCCCGTCTGTGTGTGTATGTATGTATGTGTTTCGAGTGCCTTTCATCCGGGAGTTTCAACTCGGGAACCGGAGAAGCTTGGAAGCTGAAATTTTGAAGGCGGGCCCGATTCTCACGTGTGATCTCGCAGGCCCAGTTTCGGCGTCCGTGTGCCCCCAGGCTTAACGTACGGCCACGTGGAAGTTTTGGCGCCTAAATTAGTAACTCGGAGACCAAGAGAGCCAGGAAGCTGAGATTGTAAGACGATATCCCTTGCCCACGTAAACTCAAATACAACTTCCCCGCACGCCTAGATCTCACGAAGGGACAAGTAAATTTTTTGGCGCCATAATTAATAACTCGGGAACCAGGAAGGTTAGGGGGCTGAAATTTGATACTTCCACCTACCTATAAATTCAGTCCCTGTGCTGGCCAGAGTCTCGGATACAGGCGCACGGAAATTTCGGCGCCAAAGTTGACAACTCAGAAACCACAAAAGTTGGTAGACTGAGGTTTTAAGATATTGCTGCTTGTCAGCGTATACTCACACACGCCTAGATCCGGTGCACGGACAATTGAAAGTTTTGACGCCAAAACTGGCAAGTCGGGTACAGCAGACAGTAAAGTTTTGACGTCAGAATTAGCACACAACGTATCAAACAATAAGGCAACGAACAGTTTTTACAGCAAGTTTGCGTGGTCAAAGTTGCACAGGCATCAGCTGGACAAGGTTGCACACAACACATGATCATGCCAGCTACCCTGGCGTGCCGCTATTTTTTTATAAAGGACAGCATAGCTGGTTGAGGAAACATGGTTTTTCTAAGATTGCTTTTTATATGGTGGAGAATATTCCATTCTGTGCAACGTAATGACTAGCTTTTAGCTTATCATAGTGTGTTTAAAAATGTTCGAGGTCTGAGTTTTGTGTAACAATAAATTAATGGCCATCGATTATGCAAATGTAAGGTTGGTGGCAAAAAGTGCAAGTAGCCTTTCTGAGTTGGATCGTTTTGTTAGTCGAGGTAGGTTTAAAAAAATGTCTTAAAGTTAGCCCCTTCGAAATGCAGCACACTTCCTTGGTTATTTTTCAACGAGAAGTCTTGTTAGTCGACTAGTAATAATTATAGTAAATTTAAAAGAGTAAGCAGATCGAGTAATAGTTTTTCAGATCTTTCTTATGGTCTTTTTTTTTGTGTAGCAAAGCTGTTCTGGACATTCTCCAACTGCCGCGCATTCTTCATTCAGTCATCTGCACACTGAACCACATGACGGGAGCGCTCCGAATTCTGTGCACTCCGGAACTGATGAATGCGATGTCAGTGCAGCTACTGCCAGAAGCCTCTCCACTTTTCATTTGACATATCTTGCATCGCTGTTAAGCAAGGAGAAGTCTTCTGCTTGACAACTCGAATTAGATGTGCTGAAATGTCGACATTTGGTGTGCCTTCTTCTTGAACCACTTTTTCTTCCACAGGCGATTGTAGATCCCGAGGCTTTTTTCCTTCACTTCTTTCTAGTGTGTCTGCAGAAGAGCGATTAATACATTTCTTAGCTATTAAACGTTTTCATGTTTCATCTTTCACCCTCTCTTTTTCAGTATTTACCTAGATGCGAAGATCCTCGATTCCGGTCATCGCATCAGTGCATTTAGCTTGTTGTGCGCACTAAAGAAGTGTCTGAGCAAAGTATATGTAGTCTTGGTCGTTGTCCGCTGTCTTGGCTCACTCAGTTTTTTGATTTCTTCTATTTCCATCCTTTTTTCTCCTGTCGCTTCTTACTTTGACTGCTTAAATCAGCTGTACTTCGTAGTTTGGTTCTCCAGCTATGCAGCTGGCTATTTTTCTAATTGCTTCGGCCAGTGCTGTATCGTTCATGTGGCCAGCCTGCGAACGGTCCTGATGTTTATTTCATGTTCTGATGAGATTCCCAGGTCAGTAGCTTCATTCATAAAAAACATTTGGTAAGACTTTAGCC